ACAAGGATAGTGAGGAACAGGTATGTAGTAGAGAGGGAGATTATTTCCCAGTAAAAGTAGGCCTTAGACAAAGATGTGTTGATATCACCATGATTGTTCAATATATTTATAGATGGAGTTGTAAGAGAAGTGAATGATCAGGTGTTAGCAGGAGGATTAGGATTGATAGATAAAGAATCTAACACAAAGTGGGAGTTGTCACAGTTGCTCTTTTTGCTGAAGAGAAGTTTGGGAGAGTATGTAAAAGAAGAAAATTAAAAGTGAATGTAGGAAAGAGTAAGGAGATGAGGATAACACAAAAAAATTAGCTAATGAAAGATATCAGATTGGAGGGAGGGAGTATGGAGGAAGTTAATATGTTCAGACATTTGGGAGTGGCCTTGTCAGCAGATAGGTCTATGAAAGACAAGGTGAACCATAGGAATGATGAGAGGAAAACAGGTGAGTGGTGCTCTGAGGAGTCTGTGGAGACAAAGAACATTATCCATGGAAGCAAAGAGGGGAATATATGAGAGTATGACTTTACCAAAGCTCTTATATGGGTGTGAAGTATGGGTAGGTGGTGAATGTTGCAACAAGGAGGAGGCTGGAGGCAGTAGAGATGTCATGTTCAGGACAATGTGTGGTGTGTATAGTATGTGGAGAATTTAGAGCTTGGTGATTAGATATGGGTGATGGGTTACAAGAAGCATTGTTCCAAGGGCTGAAAGAGGTTGCTATGAGGTGCTTAGGGCATTTAACCCCTTTGACTGTTTACGCCGTATATATACGTACAAAGATGAGTAGTGGGGGGGTTGAAGAGGGTTGGAATAGTTTTAAAAAAAGCAGTATTAGAATGATGGGCAGAAGTTTGTGTTATAGAGGGTGGGGAGGAGAAGAGGAGTGATTGTGAATATGAAGTAAGGGTGTGATAAAAGAGAAAAAGGTAGCTACGAGAGGTTTTTACAAAGCAGAAGTGATATAAGAAGAAGCAGGAGTATATGGGAGAGTAAAAGAAAGGTGAAGAGAGTGGTAAGAGAGAGTGCAAAAGGAAGCGTATGAAAGAGTGGGAGAGGCACTGTCAAGAATTTTAATGAAAATAAGAAAAAATTTGGAGTGAGTTAAACAAGTTAAGAAAGCCTAGGGAAAGTATGGATTTGTCATTAAAAAAACAGATAGGGGAGTTAGTAGAGGGAAGGGGGTATTGGGTAATGGGGGAAAATTTTTTTGGGGAACTTTTAAATGTTAAGGAAAAAAGGGGAGGCGGTAATTTCATGCACGGCCGGGGAGGTAACCTCTTTTAGGAGGAAGAAGAGCAGAATTAAGTGGGGTGGAGGAAACATGAGGCTTTACTGAATAAAAGGGGGGTAAAGCACGGAACTGAGGGGATCATGACAGAAATGTTAAAAGCGGGGGGGGATAAGTGTTGGGTTTTTGGTTTTTTATTATTTTAACACTGGCCGTTCCCCACCAAGGCGGGGTGGCCCAAAAAAAGAAAAATTTTCACCATCTTTTCCTCCATCACTGCTTGCCAAAGGGGTGCTTTACACTACATTTTTTAAAACTGCAACATTAACCCCCTCCTTCAATCAGGCACTGTACTTCCCACTCCAGGACTCAAGTCCGGCCTGCGGTTTCCCCTAAAACCCCTTCATAAACTTACTTTGCCACACTCCAACGCACGTCAAGTTTTAAAAACCATTTGTCTCCATTCACTCCTATCAAACACCTCACGCATGCCTGCGGAAAAAAGCCCCTCGCAACAAAACCTCCTTACCCCCTCCCTCCAACCCTTCCTAGGCCGACCCCTACCCCGCCTTTCCCCTTTCCCCTACAGACTGATACACTCCCAAATATCTAATACGTTCACCTCCTCATACTTCTCCCTCTCAACTGATATTCAGATCTTTCATCACCAATCTTTTTTGTTATCCCATAACCTTACTCTTTCCGTGCTATTCACCTCTTTAATTCTCTTTTTGCACACCCTACCAAATTATCCACCAATCTCTGCAGCTTCTCTCAGATTCTCCCAAGAGCACAGTGTCATCACAAAGAGCAAGCTTTGACAAATCCCACCCTGTGTGTGATTCTTATCTTTTAACACCACGCCTCTTTGCCAAGACCCTCGCATTTACTTCTCGTACAACCCCATCTATAAATATATTAAACAACCACGGTGACATCACAACATCCTTGTCTAAGGCCTATTTTACTGGAAAAAATTTCCCTCTTTCTACATACTCTAACCTTGAGCCTCACTATCCTCGTAAAAACTCTTCACTGTTTCAGTAACCACCTCTACACATACACTTGCACATCTCCACATTGTCCGCCCCTATCCACCCTGTCATACGCCTTTTCCAAATCCATAAATGCCACAAAGACCTCTTTAGCCTTATTTAAATACTGTCACTTTATATGTGTTCACTGTAAACACCTGGTCCACACATCCCCCTATACCTTTCCTAAAGCCTTCTTGTTCATTCTTGCTATCCTATTCCCGTCTTACTCTTAATCTTTCAAATTATAACCTACCATACACTTTACCAGGGACACTCAACAGACTTATCCCCCTATAATTTTTGCACTCTCTTTTATCCCCTTTGCCTTTATACAAAGACTATGCATGAGCTCTCTGGCCAATCCTAGTGGTTTGGTACTTTTGTTCAATAAATGTAATGAAAGAGGGGAAGGTACCTAGGATTGGCGGAGAGCATGTAAAGTCCTCTTTATATAAAGGGAAAGGGGACAAAAGAGATTGTAAAAATTATAGAGGAATAGTTTACTGAGTATACCAGGAAAATATACGGTAGGGTTATAATGAAAGAATTAGAGGTAAGACAGAATAGAATTGCAGAACGAGCAAGGAGGCTTCAGATGGGTAGGTATGTGAGATCAAGTGTTTACTTGAAACATATATGTGAACAGTATTTAGATAAAGGTAAGGGAAGTTTTTATTGCATTTATTGATTTCAGAAAAAGCATATGAAAGAGTGGATAGAGGACAATGTGGGCAAGATGTTGCAAGTATATGGAATGAGGTGGTAAGTTACCAAATGCTGTAAAGAAGCTTTATGAGGATAGTGAAGGCTCAGGTTAGGTTTGTGTAGACGAGGGAGAATACTTCCCGGTAAAGTAGGTCTTAGAGACAGGGATGTGTAATGTCCACCATGGTTGTTTAAATATATTTATAGATGGTTGTAAAAGAAGTAAATGCTAGGGTGTACGGGAAGGGGTGGGATTAAATTATGGGGAAATCAAATTCAAAATGGAATTGACACAGTTACTTTTTGCAGATGATACTGTGCTTATGGGAGATTCCTAAAGAAAAAAAAAATATTTTTTTTAACAAAGGTTAGTGGATGAGTTTGAGAATGTGTTATAAAGGTAAGAAAGTTGAAAGTGAACATAGAAAAGAGAAAGGTGATGAGGGTATCAAATGATTATAGATAAAGAAAAATTGATATAAAATTGGGGGAGAGAGAGTAATGGAAGAAGTGAATGATTTTCAGATACTTGGGATTGACGTTCGGCGGATGGATTTATGAATGGATGAGGTTAATCATAGATTGATGAGGGAAAAAAGGTGAGTGTGCGTTGAGGTATATGTGGAGTCAAAAAACGTTATCATGGAGGCAAAGAAAGGGAATGTATGAAAGTATAGTAGTACCAACACTCTTATATGGATGTAAGCTTGGTGGTAAATGCAGCAGCGAGGCGATGGTTGAGGTCAGTGGAGATGTCCCTGTCTAAGGGCATGTGTGGTGAAATATTACGCAAGAAAATTCGGATGTGGAAATAGGAGAAGGTGTGGAGTTAAAAAAGCATTAGTCAGAGGGCAGAAGGGGGTTTGTTGAGGTGGTTTGGTCATTTAGAGAGAATGGAATCAAAGTAGAATGACATGGAAAGCATATAAATCCTATAGGGGAGGAAAGAGGGGTAGGGTCGTCCTCGAAAGGGGTTGGAAAGATGGGGAAAGGAGGTTTTGTGGGTGAGGGCTTTGACTTCTTCCACAAGCGTGCCGTGAGCGTGTTAGATAGGAGTGAATGAGAACGAATGATACTTGGGACCTCGATCTGTATGGAGTGTTAGCAGGGTAATATTTTAGTGAAGGGATTCAGGGAAACCGGTTATTTTTCATATAGTCCGGAACTTGAGGTCCTGGAAATGGGAAGTACAATGCATGCACATTAAGGAGGGGGTTTTGGATATGGCAGTTTGGAGGGATATGTTGTTATCTCTATACATATATGCTTCTAAACTGTTGTATTCTGAGCACCTCTGCAAAAGCAGTGATAATGTGTGAGTGGTGAAAGTGTTGAAAATATGATGAAATATATGTTTTTGGGGATTTTCTTTCTTTTTTTTTTTGGGTCCCCTGCCTCGGTGGTAGACGGGCCGACTTGTTGAAAAAAAAAAAAAAAAGAAAAAATATACTTACTTCTTACGCCCACTGTTTCTGACCGTAATTAAATTCCTAGCGGCTTCAAATCTAGCGGAGAAAGCTGTAGGGCCCACATGTGAGAGAATGGTGGGTCTGTGTGTCAGTGTGCACACACATTAAAAAAATCCTGCAGCACACAGTGCGTAATGAGAAAAAAAAACCGAGTTTTTTTTGGATTAAAACGCCGACTTTTGAGGTGTATTTTTGTTTCGTATAAGTATTTAACGAGTTGTAATTCTTGTTTTCCATGGTCTCATGTTGATAAAATAATGGAAAACAATGATTACAGAAATAGAGATGATTTTGATTACTTTCACGATGACAACGACTTGAAATTGGAGCTCAAAGTAGCAGAATGTTCGAGTTTTTACCAATGTTCAGGAGTAAGGCCAAATCACACCACAAGTCCCAATACACATCAGCTGGGGAGTCTAATATTCTTTCACTAGTGCCACTTATATTATTTATAACCATTTTTACCAATAATGCAGTAGTCTTGCATACCAGAAATTTTGTATTTTTTTGTATGAAATAAAAAATCAAAATAGAAAACAATAGTAAAATAAGAGGGGCCTAGAGATGTGACTAATGAACAGAGGATATGTTATTTTAGTGCCAAGAATGTCTACATTGTTTATTCTGGACCCTATTTTGAAACTGGCATCTTTTTTAATTTGTGTGAAATTGGCCAAATTGCCAATTTCTGACCACTTTATGGGGTAGTTCAAATCGGTAAATGGGCGGTTTCTTGTACTCAATTGGTAGATAGAATGGAGTTCTAAAGAAATAGCTATGAGTTTGGTTGACTGGAACAACGGAATTGGCTATAAATAGGGCTCAAAGTCGGCGAAATCGCCGATACGTATATGTAGCCCAGACCACTAACTTCACGGGAGCGTAATTCCCTGAGTTTTCGACCAAATTTCATACTTTTGGTGTCATTACCATCGGGAAAAGATTCTCTATCATTTCATAAGAAAAAAAAATTTTTTTTTTTCAAAAATTTATTGACATAGAATGACAGTTTCAGAAAGGGGCCTGCGACAGTCAAAGGGTTAAAGAGGATGGAAGAAAATAAAATGACTTAAAGGTGAATAAATCTGGAAAAGGAGGGGTAAGGGGTCATCCCAGAAAGGGTTGGAAGGAGGAGGTAAAGGAAATTTTGAGCATTAGATGCTTGGATGTCCAACAGGCATATGTGAGCATGTTAGAATAAGTAGAGGCAAGTGGTTTTTGTGACTTGATGTGCTGTTGGAGTGTGAGCAAGTAACAATTATGAAGGGATTCAAGGAAACTAGTTAATCAGACTTGAGTCCTGGAGGTGGGAAGTACAGTGCCTGCACTCTGAAAGATGGGTGAGAATGTTAATCCTGGAGGTGGGACGTACAGTGCCTGCACTTTCATGGATGGGTAAGAATGTTACAGTTCAGAGGGTCATCTAAGCAGTGATGTCAACACACTTCTAGCAACAGAGCTAATGATTAATGGTGAATGCATTCACCGTTTTGCAGGTCACTACCTCATTGACCTGCAAAACATTATATGTGATGTACATGTACTAACTTATGCTTATAAAGACCAGAAAGCAGTGATATAAGAGTAATGTGGATTATGATGGCCGTCAGACCCCAGATTCGAGGTTCTGATCCTATATATACAGGCAAGGTGAAACCTTGTGGGATTTTCTTTGATCGGAATTGCGTCTGTCTTGCATTCTGAGGGCGGCTGAGATTCCTGATGGAGACAGCAAACACCGACTCCACTTCGTCTTCAGACAGTTTTAAATGTGATGGGTCAAGATGCCCCAGGTATGCCAAGACTCCCCTGACTGAGGTGCCCCCTAGCTTGCTAGGCAGCGGTGGTGTCATTCCCCACACATCAGCAATGGAACGATCGATGCCAATTTCCTCTTCTGCTTCCCTCAACGCCGTATGCACCAGGTCTTCATCATTTAAATCGGCCATGCCGCCAGGGAAACTCACTTCTCCACCGTGATTGTTCAACGTTGCACACCTCACGGTGAGCAGAAGTGATAATTCCCCCTCAATGTGACACAGAGGGACGAGCACAGCAGCCAACCTCTCAGCACCATTTGAAAACTTCCTGAGAGATCTTGCGTTTTCCATACGACTGATAAACCTCTTACGATTGTCCTCTGACAACACTGTCTCCCAGGTAAGAGGAGACGTGGTATATGCTCTAGCAGAAGATAGAAGCAGTGGCTTCCATGCCAAGTGTGTGGTGCTCGGCGGAGACGTGACCAAGACGCCTCCTCTCTGCCGCCTTCCTTCCAACCACATCTATGAGTAAAGCCAGGAATCAGCAACATCAAACTGCTTCTTTTGTGGGAATTAAACTTAAATAAACTGTCTTAGATGATTCTAATTTACAGTATACAATTGTGAGTGTAGGAAGAGTACTGTACAAGACAGTGTAAGGATACTGCTGGAGAGTCAACTGTGAGTGAAGGAAAAGCAGTATTCAGGACAGTGGAAGGTTACTACTGGAGAGTCAACTTTGAGTGAAGGAAGAGTAGTGTTCAGGACAGTGTAAGGATACTGCTGGAGAGTCAACTGTGAGTGAAGGAAAAGCAGAGTTCAGGACAGTGTAAGGTTACCGCCACAGGATCAGACAGTTTAAAAAAACAGTTTACTTGTTTAACACGCCAGCCGTCCCTCACACAGGCAGGGAGATATAACAAAAAAGGAAACACATTCATCATCACTCAGTCAACAGCTGTTTTCCCTGAGTTTTTCTGACACCACTATTCATATAACATCCTCACCCATTCTTCTGAGTGAAGGCACTGTACTTCTGACCTCCTGTACTCTAGCATCCTGGCATAAATCTATGATCTATAATCAACAGTTCCGGAGTAATTTCTAAAGGAGGTGGAACAATCATGTCTACAGATGGTCGTTTGTATGTAATTATTTAATCATTACTATAGTAATAAACTATGACACTTAAGCTCCATATATAAAAAAAGTTTTTATAAACAGAAATTTTTTTAAATTTAAAACAGCCATATATAGTGCATTCTGAACTTAAAAACATCTCATGTAAAATGTAAAGAAATATTTTTAACTTTAAAAGAGCCAAATATGCTAGACTGACTTTACTCTGTAAAAATTCAAATATAACATTGTTATAACTTTAAAAAACCATACAAGTTGCACTGACCTTACTCTGGATGTAGAATGATCCACCTTTACTCTTGTCGTTGATGTTAAAGAGGTACTCGTAGTTTTTGCGCAATCGTTCGGGATCCAGGTCCTCGACATTGAGAATCTGCTTCGCCTCCTCCAGGCTCATTCCTAGTTTCTGATTGGTCGCCGAGTGTTTGGCCCCCGCAGCACCGCCGCCAGCTCTCTCTGCTGCTGCTTGACTCGCTGCAACGTCAAAATTATTAACAGTGATACATAATTTATTACATAATAATTAATAAAAGACAACAGAAATAAAATAATATATACGTAATAATAATCATTGTAATCATAATAATAATAATGAGTTTTCACTGCATTTATGGACTCAGAAAAGGCATATATGTATATGATAGGGTAGATAAGGGAGCAATGTGGCAGATGTTGCAAGTGCACGGAATGCTTAGTAGGTTAATGAAGGAAATTAAGGTTTTTTTTACAAGTCCAATGAAGATCAGGTTAGAGTATGTAGGAGAGAGGAAGAATATTTCCAAGTAAAAGTAGGCCTTAGACAGTGATGTGCGATGTTGCCATGGATCTGTTTAGCATGGGTCAGTAATACCTGTGTCTAGCATGGGTCAGTAGCACCTGTTTCTAGCATGGGTCAGTAGTACCTGTGTCTAGCATGGGTCAGTAGTACCTGTATCTAGCATGGGTCAGTAGCACCTGTGTCTAGCATGGGTCAGTAGTACCTGTGCCTAGCATGGGTCAGTAGTACCTGTGTCTATCATGGGTCAGTACCACTGTCTAGCATGGGACAGTAGTACCTGTGTCTAGCATGGGTCAGTTGTACCACTGTCTAGCATGGGTCAGTAGTACCTGTCTAGCATGGGTCAGTACTACCTGTGTCTAGCATGGGTCACTAATACTGTCTAGCATGGGTCAGTAGTCCATGTGTCTAGCATGGGTCAGTAGTAGATGTGTCTAGCATGGGTCATTGGTACATGTGTCTAGCATGGGTCAGTAGTACGTGTGACTAGCATGGGTCAGTAGTACTTGTGTCTAGCAAGGGTCAGTGGTACCTGTGTCTACCATGGGTCAGTAGTACCACTGTCTAGCAGGGGTCAGTAGTACATGTGTCTAGCATGGGTCAGTGGTACATGCATCTAGCATGGGTCAGTAGTACGTGTGACTAGCATGGGTCAGTAGTACCTGTGTCTAGCATGGGTCAGTAGTATTTGTGTCTAGCAAGGGTCAGTGGTATCTGTGTCTAGAATGAGTCAGTAGTACCACTGTCTAGCATGGGTTAGTACAACCTGTGTCTAGCATGGGTCAGTAGTACCTATGTCTAGCATGGGTCAGATGTACCTGTGTCTTAGCATGGGTCAGTAGTACTTGTGTCAAGTATGGGTCAGTAGTACATGTGCCTAGCATGGGTCAGTAGTACCACTGTCTAGCATGGGTCAGTAGTGCCTGTGACTAGCATGGGTCAGTAGTACCTGTGTCTACCCTGGGTCAGTAGTACCTGTGTCTAGCATGGGTCAGCAGTACTTGTTTCTAGCATGGGTCAGTAGTACCTGTGTCTAGCATGGGTCAGTACTACCTGTGTCTAGCTTGGGTCAGTAGTACCTGTGTCTAGCATGGGTCAGTAGTACCTGTGTCTAGCATGGGTCAGTAGTACCTGTGTCTAGCATGGGTCAGTAGTACCTGTGTCTAGCATGGGTCAGTAGTACCTGTGTCTAGCATGGGTCAGTAGTACCACTCTCTAGTATGGGTCAGTAGTACCACTGTCTAGAATGAGTTGATAGTACCACTGTCTAGCATGGGTTAGTAGTACCACTGTCTAGCATGGGTCAGTAGTACCACTGTCTAGCATGGGTCAGTAGTTCTACTGTCTAGCATGGGTCAGTAGTTCTACTGTCTAGCATGGGTCAATAGTACCACTGTCTAGCATGGGTCAGTAGTACCTGTGTCTAACATGGGTCAGTAGTGCCATTGTCTAGCAGGGGTCAGTACTACCTGTGTTAAGCATGGGTCAGTAGTACCTGTGTCTAGCATGGGTCAGTAGTACCTGTGTTTAGCATGGGTCAGTAGTACCACTGTCTAGCATGGGTCTGTAGTACCTATGTCTAGCATGGGTCAGTACTACCACTGTCTAGCATGAGTCAGTAGTATCACTGTCTAGCATGGGTCAGTAGTACCACTGTCTAGCATGGGTCAGTAGTACCACTGTCTAGCATGGGTCATAGTACCACTGTCTAGCATGGGTCAGTAGTACCACTGTCTAGCATGGGTCAGTAGTACTTGTGTCAAGCATGGGTCAGTAGTACCTGTGTGTAGCATGGGTCAGTATTACCTGTGTCTAGCATGGGTCAATATTACCTGTGTCTAGCATGGGTCAGTAGTGCCACTGTCTAGCAGGGGTCAGTACTACCTGTTAAGCATGGGTCAGTAGTACCTGTGTCTAGCATGGGTCAGTAGTACCTGTGTCTAGCATGGGTCAGTAGTACCTGTGTCTAGCATGGGTCAGTAGTACCTGTGTCTAGCATGGGTCAGTAGTACCTGTGTCTAGCATGGGTCAGTAGTACCTTGTCTAGCATGGGTCAGTAGTACCTGGTCTAGCATGGGTCATAGTACCTGTGTCTAGCATGGGTCAGTAGTACCTGTCTAGCATGGGTCAGTAGTACCTGTGTCTAGCATGGGTCAGTAGTACCTGTGTCTAGCATGGGTCAGTAGTACCTGTGTCTAGCATGGGTCAGTAGTACCTGTGTCTAGCATGGGTCAGTAGTACCAGTGTCTAGCATGGGTCAGTAGTACCTGTGTCTAGCATGGGTCAGTAGTACCTGTGTCTAGCATGGGTCAGTAGTACCTGTGTCTAGCATGGGTCAGTAGTACCACAGTCTAGCATGGGTCAGTAGTACCACTCGCTAGTATGGGTCAGTAGTACCACTGTCTAGAATGAGTTGATAGTACCACTGTCTAGCATGGGTCAGTAGTACCACTGTCTAGCATGGGTCAGTAGTACCACTGTCTAACATGGGTCAGTAGTACCACTGTCTAGCATGGGTCAGTAGTACCACTGTCTAGCATGGGTCAGTATTACCACCATGTAGCTTGGGTCAGTAGTTCTACTGTCTAGCATGGGTCAATAGTACCACTGTCTAGCATGGGTCAGTAGTACCTGTGTCTAGCATGGGTCAGTAGTACCACTGTCTAGCATGGGTCAGTAGTACCACTGTCTAGCATGGGTCAGTAGTACCACTGTCTAGCATGGGTCAGTAGTACCTGTGTCTAGCATGTATCAGTAGTACCACTGTCTACCATGGGTCAGTAGTACCACCATGTAGCATGGGTCAGTAGTACCACTGTCTAGCATGGGTCAGTAGTACCACTGTCTAGCATGGGTCAGTAGTACCATGATGTCAGCACTGGGTCAGTAGTACCACTGTCTAGAATGGGTCAGTAGTACCTTGTCTAGCATGGGTCAGTAGTACCACTGTCTAGCATGGGTCAGTAGTACCACTGTCTAGCATGGGTCAGTAGTACCACTGTCTAGCATGGGTCAGTAGTACCACTGTCTAGCATGGGTCAGTAGTACCACTGTCTAGCATGGATCAGTAGTACCACTGTCTAGCATGGGTCAGTAGTACCACTGTCTAGCATGGGTCAGTAGTACCACTGTCTAGCATGGGTCAGTAGTACCACTGTCTAGCATGGGTCAGTAGTACCACTGTCTAGCATGGGTCAGTAGTACCTGTGTCTAGCATGGGTCAGTAGTACCTGTGTCTAGCATGTATCAGTAGTACCACTGTCTACCATGGGTCAGTAGTACTACTGTCTAGCATGGGTCAGTAGTACCACTGTCTAGCATGGGTCAGTAGTACCTGTGTCCAGCATGGGTCAGTAGTACCACTGTCTAGCATGGGTCAGTAGTACCTGTGTCTAGCATGGGTCAGTAGTACCACTGTCTAGCATGTACGAATGGTCAGTAGTACCACTGTCTAGCATGGGTCAGTAGTACCACTGTCTAGCATGGGTCTGTAGTACCACTGTCTAGCATGGGTCAGTAGTACCTGTGTCTAGCATGGGTCAGTAGTACCACTGTCTAGCATGTGTCAGTAGTACCACTGTCTAGCATGGGTCAGTAGTACCACTGTCTAGCATGGGTCAGTAGTACCACTGTCTAGCATGGGTCAGTAATACCACTTTCTAGCATGGGTCAGTAGTACCACTGTCTAGCATGGGTCAGTAGTACCTGTGTCTAGCATGGGTCAGTAGTACCACTGTCTAGCATGGGTCAGTAGTACCACTGTCTAGCATGGGTCAGTAATACTACTGTCTAGCATGGGTCAGTAGTACCACTGTCTATCATGGGTCAGTAGTACCACTGTCTAGCATGGGTCAGTAGTACCACTGTCTAGCATGGGTCAGTAGTACCTGTGTCTAGCATGTATCAGTAGTACCACTGTCTACCATGGGTCAGTAGTACCACCATGTAGCATGGGTCAGTAGTACTACTGTCTAGCATGGGTCAGTAGTACCACTGTCTAGCATGGGTCAGTAGTACCTGTGTCTAGCATGGGTCAGTAGTACCACTGTCTAGAATGGGTCAGTAGTACCTGTGTCTAGCATGGGTCAGTAGTACCACTGTCTAGCATGGGTCAGTAGTACCACTGTCTAGCATGGGTCAGTAGTACCACTGTCTAGCATGGGTCAGTAGTACCACTGTCTAGCATGGGTCAGTAGTACCACTGTCTAGCATGGGTCAGTAGTACCACTGTCTAGCATGGGTCAGTAGTACCACTGTCTAGCATGGGTCAGTAGTACCACTGTCTAGCATGGGTCAGTAGTACCACTGTCTAGCATGGGTCAGTAGTACCACTGTCTAGCATGGGTCAGTAGTACCACTGTCTAGCATGGGTCAGTAGTACCACTGTCTAGCATGGGTCAGTAGTACCTGTGTCTAGCATGGGTCAGTAGTACCACTGTCTAGCATGGGTCAGTAGTACCACTGTCTAGCATGGGTCAGTAGTACCACTATCTAGCATGGGTCAGTAGTACCTGTCTAGCATGGGTCAGTAGTACCACTGTCTAGCATGGGTCAGTAGTACCACTGTCTAGCATGGGTCAGTAGTACCACTGTCTAGCATGGGTCAGTAGTACCACTGTCTAGCATGGGTCAGTAGTACCACTGTCTAGCATGGGTCAGTAGTACCTGTGTCTAGCATGGGTCAGTAGTACCACTGTCTAGCATGGGTCAGTAGTACCACTGTCTAGCATGGGTCAGTAGTACCACTGTCTAGCATGGGTCAGTAGTACCACTGTCTAGCATGGGTCAGTAGTACCACTGTCTAGCATGGGTCAGTAGTACCTGTGTCTAGCATGGGTCAGTAGTACCACTGTCTAGCATGGGTCAATAGTACCACTGTCTAGCATGGGTCAGTAGTACCACTGTCTAGCATGGGTCAGTAGTACCACTGTCTAGCATGGGTCAGTAATAAATGTATGAAAGAGGGGAAGGTATCTAGGGATTGGCAAAGTTCTTTTGTATAGAGGCAAAGGGGACAAGATGAGAGTGCAAGATTATAGGGGATAAGCCTTTTGAGTACACAGGCAGGCCCCATTTTACAGCACTTCACTTTACAGTGGTTTTCATTTATACACATTCTTCATTTATTTGGACTTCCTGTAATGAATATATTCACCATAGTCTAAGAACAAAAATATTTTAATGTAAGCAATGTGTGTAATGTATAGCCTCTCCTCACTTAACGACGAACTCGTTTACCGACAACTCGGACTTACGGCGGGCTCTCTGACCAGAATGCATACCTAAATAATGTATATTAGAGCTGATTTCCTCTATTCTGTTTATGACAATATACAGTACACTACTGTATAAACATTTAAAAATATATCAGAAATGTAATAAATGGTGCAATGGTGACATTAAAACAATATCAAAGATGACCGACACAAACCCACTACCATTATAATATGCTCGTCGCTTAACGAATTTGTTTACTGCGTGGTCTTAGGAACGGAACTCCGTCGTTAAGTGAGGAGATGCTGTACACTGCATTTTTTAGGCCTAGCTACGTTGCTCACTTAAAATATGATAGCGTAAGCATGCTATCAAGCTTTTATATGCATAATGAAACTGAATGAGGGTAGGTATAGGTTTGGTAGACAGCATACGCCAGGAGGTACATCCGTCTTGCCAATGAGGTAAAACGAAACCTGTAAGTTGTTTACACACGATGGTAGGATTTCTGGCTTTTTTTTCTGTCTCATATCACAGTAACAGATTTCAGCCAACTTGCACTTTCTTACACAGGTCACACTACACATACATGTACAGCATATATATACACACTCCTCTGGTTTTCTGCTATTTTAATCTAGTTTTTTGTTCTTGTTTATTTCCACCTCTTACGCTTCTTGGGGAAAGTGGAACAGAATTTCTTTCTCGTAAGCCATTGAGTGTTGTAAGAGGGCTAAATACTGGAGCAAAGGCTATATACCTTTCTCCTGTAGAATTACTGAATTTAAAACGAGAAATTTGTTTTTCTTTTGGCACCGCATCGTGGAAAGGCGGCGTTGAAAAAGGAGCAAGTGAGACAAATGCTTTTCTGACTTGATATGGCCATTGGAAAAAAAAATAAAAAAAATAGAACAGAAAAAGCTTCATGATTCATGAAATCATACTAGAAATATACTTCTTTCTTTCAACACACCGGCCATATCCCACCAAGGCGGGGTGGCCAAAAAAGAAAAACGAAAGTTTCTCTTTTAAATTTAGTAATTTATACGGGAGAAGGGGTTACTAGCCAATTGTTCCCAGCATTTTAGTCGCCTCTTACAACACGCATGGCTTATGGAGGAAGAATTCTATTCCACTTCCCCATGGAGATAAGAGGAAATAAACAAGAACAAGAACTAGAAAGAAAATAGAAGAATTCCCAGAGGGGTGTGTATATATATGCTTGTACATGTATGTATAGTGTGACCTAAGTGTAAGTAGAAGTAGCAAGACATACTTGAAATCTTGCATGTTTATGAGACAGACAAAAGACACCAGCAATCCTACCATCATGTAAAACAATTACAGGTTTTCGTTGTACACTCACTTGGCAGGATGGTAGTACCTCCCTGGGCGGTTGCTGTTTACCAACCTTTGTAGATGAATGGTTCAGAGAACCGACATGTTGATAAATTAGACACATGTGCAACTCTTGGGTATCTTTATTGAGGAAACGTTTCACCACACAGTGGCTTCATCAGTCCATACAAAGGAGAATCTTGAAGAACAGAAGGAGAATGAGGTAATCAGTCCCTCAACCTTGAGTCGATGTGGTCAGTCCATCAATCTTGAATAGAATCTATTCAAGATTGATGGACTGACCACATCGACTCAAGGTTGAGGGACTGATTACCTCATACTCCTTCTGTTCTTCAAGATTCTCCTTTGTATGGACTGATGAAGCCACTGTGGCAAAACGTTTCCTCAATAAAGATACCCAAGAGTTGCACATGTATCTAATTTATCACCAACCTACTACCTAGGAGAAATATACTTATTTGGGTGAATTTATTCGAGGCAGCTGGCTCAGTGGTTAACACACTGGCCTGTCAGATTTACACTCACTTGCCATGGGTTCAAATCCCACCCATTCTGATTAGAATAGCCTTGTATGAGAGCTGACATTACTATTATATTTATGGGAAGCATTAAACCCACAGGAATAACATAGTGCCTGGAAGGCATTCAGGTTCAACCTAAGGAAGGGGAGGGCAAATCCAATTCCTTGGATTAAGAGCCCATCACTGGCACCAAATAACTTCCCTTGATGGGTGCTGACCATATACCTTCCAACAGTCTCTTCTCTAACATAACCTTGCACCTCTCATCTTCCTCTGATGAGTTTCCAGAGTTTTTCTACTTGAACCTTGAGCCAGGCTTGTCTAGTGCCAGGCACTCCATTATGGCTTCTGGTGCCCTCAAACAAATGTCGTATCTTACCCATAAGCAGCCTGGTCAAATATTACCTGCGATCTCCTGCCTGAGAGCCTTGATAAAGGCACGACCCACCACCTGTACACCGGCAACAATCAGCTGCACCAGATGCTTGGCCTGTAATAAATATGTCAATTTTACTATATAAACTGTGGTGCGGTATTTACAGTGCTGACAAAAATAGTCCAGGCTGCTTTTATTATGAAAATTGTTAAACCCCAACAATATAAACATTAAGCAACAAAATTAATTAATAATCTTGAGGTTAATAATGAGCTTGGGGAAAGTGATCACAAATCACTTAGTTTCAATATATTATGGAATTACCCAGATGACTGGAATCAAGTCTCTGTCCCAGACTTCCGATTGGCTGATTTCATGGGACTGAAAAATCACCTAAGTGGGCTAAATTGGGATGATCTGACTATGGGTCAGGTAGCTGGTGTTGGTTGACAATATGATGTTTTTCAGAGCATAGCTCTAGCTGCTCAGTTAACTTTTGTTCCAAGTAGGGAAATTAGATCTAACAAAAATTATCCCAAATGGATGAACAATAGATTAAAACATCTCACTGATCAAAAGAGAGGCATTTCTAGGCATATCAAAAGAGGGGATGGGCAGTTAAGAAATCAATATACAGTGGACCCCCGCTTAACGATCACTCCCAATGCGACCAATTATGTAAGTGTATTTATGTAAGTGTGTTTGTACGTGTATGTTTAGGGGTCTGAAATGGACTAATCTACTTCACAATATTCCTTATGGGAACAAATTTGGTCAGTAATGGCACCTGAACATACTTCTGGAATGAAACAATATCGTTAACCGGGGGTCCACTGTATTCAATTAAAGAGAGAAAAAAAAAAGAAATAAGAAAAGCAAAAAGGTATTATGAGGCTAAGGTCGCAAGGGATTCGAAGACTAACACAAAAGGATTCTTTCAGGTATACAGAAGTAAGATTAGAGACAAGATAGGCCCACTTAAGAGTAGCTCAGATCAGATCACTGACAGTGATAGGGATGTGTGTGAAATTTTCAATTCTTACTTCCTCTCAGTTTTTACTCAGGAAGATACTAGCGATATTCCAGAAATAATAAATTATGTAGAACAGGATGATGATAAACTATGTACAATTGCAGTAACTAGTGACATGGTCCTCAGACAAATAGATAAATTAAAACCTAACAAATCCCCAGGTCCTGATGAATTGTTTGCCTGGAGTTTACCTGGAGAGAGTTCCGGGGGTCAACGCCCCCGCGGCCCAGTCTGAGACCAGGCCTCCTGGAGGATCAGAGCCTGATCAACCAGGCTGTTGCTGCTGGCTGCACGCAAACCAACATACGAGCCACAGCCCGGCTGATCCGGAACTGACTTTAGGTGCTTGTCCAGTGCCAGCTTGAAGACTGCCAGGGGTCTGTTGGTAATCCCCCTTATGTGTGCTGGGAGGCAGTTGAACAGTCTCGGGCCCCTGACACTTATTGTATGGTCTCTTAACGTGCTAGTGACACCCCTGCTTTTCATTGGGGGGATGGTGCATCGTCTGCCAAGTCTTTTGCTTTCGTAATGAGTGATTTTCGTGTGCAAGTTCGGTACTAGTCCCTCTAGGATTTTCCAGGTGTATATAATCATGTATCTCTCCCTCCTGCGTTCCAGGGAATACAGGTTTAGGAACCTCAAGCGCTCCCAATAATTGAGGTGTTTTATCTCCGTTATGCGCGCCGTGAAAGTTCTCTGTACATTTTCTAGGTCGGCAATTTCACCTGCCTTGAAAGGTGCTGTTAGTGTGCAGCAATATTCCAGCCTAGATAGAACAAGGGTTTTAAAGGAATGTAAAGAGGAACTTCGCAAACCTTTGGCTAATCTTTTCAACGTATCACTACAAACTGGCATAGTGCCTGATAAGTGGAAAATGGCAAATGTAATACCTATTTACAAGGCAGGTGACAGGTCCTTAGCTTTGACCTATAGACCAATAAGCCTTACCTCCATAGTGGGAAAATTTATGGAATCAATAATTACCGAGGCAATTCGTAGCCATCTTGATATGCATAAATTGATAAATGAATCTCAACGCATTTTACTACGGGGCGTTCCTGTCTTACGAATTTACTAACTTTTTTGCTAAGGTGTATGAGGAGGTAGATCATGGTAATGAATATGATATTGTGTATATGGACTTCAGTAAGGCTTTCGATAGAGTTCCACATCAGAGACTTTGAGGAAACTTAAGGCACACGGAATAGAAGGAGAAATTTTTTCCTGGGTAGAGGCATGGTTGACAAATAGGCAGCAAAGAGTTTGCATAAATGTGGAGAAATCAGAATGGGGAAACGTCACAAGCAGTGTTCCACAGGGATCAGTGTTGGGCCCCTTGTTGTTCACAATTTACATAAACGATATAGATGAGGGAATAAACAGCGACATAAGCGAATTTGCTGATGACACCAAAATAGGCCGTTCAATTCATTCTATTGAGGACATTAGTGGACTCCAGAATGATCTGAATAGACTGATGCAGTGGTCGGAGAAGTGGCAGATGCAGTTCAATATAGACAAATGCAAAGCTCTAAATGTTGGACAGGACAATAACCATGCCACTTATAAACTGAATAGTGTAGATCTTAATACTACTGACTGCAAAAAGGATTTAGGAGTTCTGGTTAGCAGTAATCTGAAACCAAGACAACAGTGCATTAGTGTTCACAATAAAGCTAACAGAATCCTTGGCTTCATATCAAGAAGTATAAATAATAGAAGTCCTCAGGTTGTTCTTCAACTCTATATATCCTTGGTTAGGCCTCATTTAGATTATGCCACACAGTTCTAGTCACCATATTACAGAATGGATATAAATGCAATAGAAACATACAGAGGAGGATGACAAAGCTGATCCCATGTATCAGAAATCTTCCCTAAGAGGATAGAGCAGGGCCCTGAATCTGCACTCTCTAGAAAGGCATAGAATTACGGGGGATATGATTGAAGTGTATAAATGGAAAACAGAAATAAATAAAGGGAATGTAAATAGCGTGCTGAAAATATCCAGCCAAGACAGGACTCGCAGCAATGGTTTCAAGTTGGAAAAGTTCAGATTCAGAAGGACATAAGAAAGCACTGGTTTGGTAATAGAGTTGTGGATGAGCGGAACAAACTCCCGAGTACCGTCATAGAAGCTAAGACCTTGTGTAGTTTTAAAAATAGGTTGGATAAATACATGAGTGGGTGTGAGTTGGACCTGACTAGCTTGGGCTACCAGGTTTGGTGCCGTGCTCCTTCCTTAAATGGAAGTGACCTGACTAGGTGGTCATTGTTCTAGGCCGGGGGATGGCATGAACCTGCTTCGCATGGATCAGTAGGTATGTTGCAGTGTTCCTTCTTTCTTACGTTCTTATGTTCTTAAACTGTAAGACAGGAGTGCCCTGCTGTACAGTGCTTGGCTTTACAGTGTTTCCTCAATGCAGCAGTTTTTAATTACAATAGGACCCCCCATATCCCTGGGGGATACGTTCCAAGACCTACGGTGCATACCTGAAACCATGAATAGTAACGAATAAGAAAGTTTATTCAGGTACAGGTATACAAAAATAGTTACATAAATTATCATACATAGCAGCATGTGTGTAGATGACTCACCAGGATAACCCAAGAAAGTCAGACAAAGTGACTTATTTCCATTGGGGTCCTTGTAATACTTTATTATTAAAACATTAAACTGAGATATACTAGGAATAAGGTCAACTGGTTCATGCTAGGAATAAGGTAAATGAGTTCATGCTATGACAGGCTTTGACCTGTGCAGTTAGTCTGTTCCACTCCTTTACTGTTGTACAATAAAATATGTTTGAAGCCTGGCCCCTAACTGTGGGTACTACAACGTTGTGCTCTCTCCCCCTAGCACTATGATTGCTTTGGTTCTCAGCCTCAATAAACTTGGCAGCAAGATATTCAGGACACTGTTTGTGAGTAATTTTATAAACATGATTTAACTTCAGTTGTTTTACTCTGTCTTCAACATACAGCATATCCAATTGTTGTAATTCATCCTGGCCTACATGTTCTCTTGGACTCAGGTCCAGGATGAATATCAACATTTTGTTCTGGGTGATTTGAAGTCTATCTTTCAGTTTTTTGCCAAGGCAGAGTGCCATGACATTGTATAAGAGCCACTGCCCAGACTAAGGGTTGACAATCCAAATGAATTCTTCATGAACGAAACCCAAAATTTGGTCTTCCCAAAAATCTCGGATACTATTCTAACTCCACAAGACTTTGAAGAGGCAATTAATGACATGCCCATGCGCTCTGCCCCAGGCCCAGACTCGTGGAATTGCAAGAAGCCCCTATTGCATGCCTTCAGCATTTTATGGAGAGGGAGCATGGACACAGGGGTCATCCCACACACACTAAAAACAACAGACATAGCCCCACTCCACAAAGGTGGCAGTAAAGCAACTGCAAAGAGCTACAGACCGATATCACTAATGTCCCATATCATAAAAATCTTTGAGAGGGTTCTTAGAAGCAAGATAGCCAACCACTTTGATACCCATCAATTACACAACCCAGGGCAACACGGGTTTAGAGCAGGTCGCTCCTGCCTGTCCCAGCTACTGGACCACTATGACAAGGTCCTGGATGCTGTAGAGGATAACCCAAATACAGATATAGTATACACAGACTTTGCAAAAACCTTCGACAAATGTGACCATGGTGTAATAGCACACAAAATGTGTGATAAAGGAATAACGGGAAAAGTTGTTAGATGGATCTACAACTTCCTGACAAATAGAACACAAAAAGTAATAGTAAACAGAGTAGTAAAGTCCTGGGCAGCCATGGTAAAAAGCTCTGTTCCAAAAGGTACAGTACTCACTCCCATTCTATTCCTCATCCTCATTTCTGACATAGACAGAGATGTAAGCCATAACTCCGTGTCTTCCTTTGCGGATGACACCCGGATTACCATGGCAGTGACCTTCATCAAAGACACCATGAGACTCCAAGTGGACATCAACCAAATCTTCGAATGGGCCACTCAAAACAATATGAAGTTCAACGAGGAGAAATTTCAACTACTCAGATATGGGAAACTTGAAGAAATTAAAAATGTGTCAGGGTATACGACAAATTCTAACCATACAATAGAGCAGAAAAGTAATGTGAAGGACCTGGGAGTGATAATGTCAGAGGATCTCGCCTTCAAAGATCACAACAATGTATCTACCTCATCCGCTAGGAAAATGATAGGATGGATAATGAGAACCTTCAAAACTAGGGATGCCAAGCCCATGATGAGTCTCTTTAAATTGCTTGTGCTCTCTAGGCTGGAATACTGCTGTACACTAACGGCCCCCTTCAAGGCTGGCGACATTGCAAACCTGGAGAGTGTACAAAGAACTTTCACGGCACACATAAGTATGATAAGGCACCTAAACTACTGGGAATGGTTGAAAGTCCTTGATCTGAATTCCCTCGAATGCAGGTGAGAGAGATACATGATAATATACACCTGGAAGGTCCTGGAGGGACTGGTCCTAAACCTGCACATGAAAATCACTCCCTATGAAAGCAAAAAACTAGGCAGGAGATGCAACATTTCCCTGATGAAAAGCAGGGGCACCACGAGTACACTGAGAGACAACACAATAAGTATTGGGTTCTCCATTACAATGGACATTAAAAATGTTTACCCTTTTCAGTTTATGTTTTATATCAAAAAGTATGGCTTCGGTTTCCCAAGATGTAAAGATAATTTGTTGTCTACTAACCATTTGCTGTAGGACATTAGCTATATCTGCATACAACAGAAGCTTACACTTGACACTGATGGGCATGTCATTTACATAACATAGGAACAACAAGGGACCCAGAATACTACCTTAGGGATCCCCATATGCTATCAGCAGGGCTTCTGATTCTGTGTTGCTGATATTGACAACTTTTTTCCTCTGGCTCAGGTAGGATTTATACCAGTTTACAGAATCTATGCCAACAGCTGGTACAGTGGTACCCTGAGTTTCGGCCATAGTTCATTCCAGAAGGCTGTGCGAGTGCCATTACTGAACGAATTTGTTCCCATAAGGAATAATGTAAATTAGATTAGTCCATTTCAGACCCCCAGAAATACACTTACAAAAGCACTTACAATAATACACTTACATAACTGTTCGAGTTGGGAGGTGTACCAAACTCGAGGTGCCACTGTAATTTCTTACATAATATATTGTGGTTGACTGTATCAAAGGCCTTTTGCAAGTCTAAAATTACCATACCTATGAGATTCACCAGTGACATTTCAATTCTCAGGTAGTCTATCAGATTAATTATGGAGGTGTCGGTTGAGTAATATCTCCTAAAACCTGAATGGTAACTATGGAGAATGTTTCTGTCATTAAGATACTTAACTACTTGACAGTACACCGCCTTCTCTATAATTCTGAACATCACACTGAGTATACTAACAGGCCTATAGTTAATGACATCAGATCTACTATTTTTCTTGAAGACAGCAGTAACTCTGGCCTCCATGAACCCTCCGAAACAGCATTAGTGGAGATGGACAAATTTATTATGTGTGCAATGGGGACTGGCAATTCTGAGGCACTATCTTTTAGGAACTTAACTGGGATGTTATCTTGACTGGCAGTCTTAGTTTGGTTTAACTTTCTTAGTTATTTTTGCATGAAGTCATAAGTTACACCTTTTAGTTGGCAACTGTTTGGGTGATGCCTTTATTGGTATAGTATGTTTTAAATTTATTGGAGTCTATGTTAAAGGTCTTTGATGCAACTGGCAGTTTACTCACTAGTGTTGATGCAACAGATGTGTAGTAAGAATTCAAACAATTTCCCACTTTAGTTGTTTCATGGCATACATTGGTATCGGTATTTAGCAATATGTTTTAGATCTACCTATGGGTTTATGGCTATATCCCAGCTGTTTTAGTTGTTGCCAGAGCTTTCTGGGGTTATTCTCGTATTTCTTGATTGTTGAGCAATAATGCCTTGCCTTTGCTTTTTTTAAAAGCCTCTGCAATGTTCCTTATGCAAGTTATTTTTCATTTACATAGATATCTATGATAAAGTTTAACTGATAAATTAAGCACAATAAGTCGAGAATTATCACTTTTTCATTGATAGGAAGCACGACTTCTCTTACGCTTAGAAGAACTGTCACCGTCAATATAGTATTTTGTGGCCATTATTAAGCAAAATAAGGGTTATTTTCGTGCCACGGTCAGTCGTGGATAACTGAAACAGTAGAAACCAAATCCGTGGATACGGGGGTCCTACTGTATACCCATTCTTCATTTATTCAGACTTAATACAATAAATGTATTCACCATTCACTACAGGATAAGGATAAAAATATTCTAATGTAAGTAGTGGTGTATTGTATATGCATATTTTAGGCCTAGCTATGTTGCTCACTTAATATATGATAGTGTAAATATATGTATTTGAAAGTGAGAAAAATGCTACGATTCACTTAATATCTGTAGACCAGAACATTTAAGGGCAAAAATTAAGCCAATTTTTTAATAAATTAAATGAAGAAATTTGATATAGATTTTTTTCACATTTTCTTTATTTTTTTTAGCTGATTTTTTAGGAAATCTCAACTAAAATAAAAAAGAATTGAGTGATGTTTCACCTTCAGTGATGTTTATGTGAAGCCTCAGTGCGGGTGAAACATCTGTTGTGTTTATGGGGGAGAAGTAAACCTGTACGGGTTACATAGTACCTGGGGGGGGGGTGAAAAACAATCAGTTTGATCCTAGGAAGAGGGGGACAGCTCCAGTTCCTCGGATCAAGACTCCTCACACGTCTTAATAAAAGCCAAAAAAAATCATTACTGTTAAAGGAAAGTCCTAAACCTGTACGGGTTTAGCGCCAAGGAGGGAAAATGATCTGGTAGCTCCAGCTCCACGGATCAAGTGTCACACATCTGCATCCCTTCAGCACTTAATAAATTATAATTGAAGAAGGTTAAACCCTCATGGTATTAGCATCTAGGGAGTCTGAGAGACAATGAGGTGTGATCCGAGGACGAAGAGAACCAGCTCCACCTCCTCGGATCAAGATCCACCACCGGCTCGGAGCTCCAGGTCACACCAACACTCATTTTACAACCCCCCCCCCCCACCCAAAATAAAATAAAACCACATTTTGACTTATTAACAGACCAGACACATACTTACCATTGTAACGCGAACAAAAATATTAAATTATATAAAATATTTAAGGGAAAAAGAGTAAATAAAAAATAAATTCTGAGGAGTTGCGGCCGCCGGGTCGTCTGCTCCGCCACATCCACCACAGTTGTGTATTTACCTCCCCACTTTGTAACTTATTCTAATATACTAAAATAAAACATAATATATTATGATAAACATAAAATAATGTATAATATAATATATTTAACATGAAAATAGTATGTTCCGCCTATCACAATTAGTATATTAATGTATTTTTTGTAATATAAGTCCCCATCCAAACATCATCTGCTGGTCCACATCCACCACAGTTTTCCATTTATGTTCATTATATTTTTTTAAGTTTAATGAAGTTAATGTAATAAAATAAAGAAAACAGTTTAAATCACAATAAAATAAACAGAGAAAATAATGTATTTCAGATATAATAATCAATATATTAATATAATTAATGAATGCTTCACATCCATCAGAATTCTATATTTATTATTGTAATATAATCAAATATATTATAATAAACGTATAATATAAGAAATTACATAGAAAATAATTAACGCATTCTGGCTATATTAATCGATATATTTTATTGTACAGTTGGTATTTTATTTTATTGTACAGTTAGGCAAGTTTATTCTGACACTGTTTCGCCTACACAGTAGGCGAAACAGTTGTGTTCCATAGTGTGAAACAGATTGTTTCACACTGGAACACAATTCTTCTCCAGGCTGAGGGACTGACAGTGCTGTATAGCCCTTGTGGCTTAGCGCTTCTTTTTGATTATAATAATAATAATGAGGGACTGACAACCTCAAATCTCCGACTACAAGGGTGATGGACTGATAACATCGTCTTCACATCTCTACTGCTCCTGCCTACTTTCTGTACTCGACTGAAGAATTCTACTGTGTAGGCGAGAAGTTTCGAAGTAAAGTTGCCTAACTGGTGGCCATGTGTCTTACCTACCAAAGTGTCGGTATTGTATACCGGTGGCCTGGTGGCTAAAGCTCCCGCTTCACACACGGAGGGTCCGGGTTCGATTCCCGGCGGGTGGAAACATTTCGACACGTTTCCTTACACCTGTTGTCCTGTTCACCTAGCAGCAAATAGGTACCTGGGTGTTAGTCGACTGGTGTGGGTCGCATCCTGGGGGACAAGATTAAGGACCCCAATGGAAATAAGTTAGACAGTCCTCGATGACGCACTGACTTTCATGGGTTATCCTGGGTGGCTAACCCTCCGGGGTTAAAAATCCGAACGAAATCTTATCTTATCTTACTGGAAGAGACTACCTGCACATGTCAAAGCCAGTCACAGCATAAACCACCTCAACAAAAGAGCCAAAACTTACATAATGAATGTAGCGACAGAAAGGAGTTTTTTTTTTTAGCTAACACATGTAAAGATAAATAACTTATTTGACCTTATTCCTGGTATATCTCCTTCATAGTATTATAATAAGATATGATCTCCTTTATAATATAATAATATGGTATTAAAAGAACCCCAATGGAAATAAGTCACTTTGTCTGACTTGTTTTGGGTTATCCCAGGTTCTCTACACATATGTTGCTATGTATGATAATCTATGTATGATAATCTATGTATGATAATCTATGTATGATAATCTATGTATGATAATCTATGTATGATAATGTATGTATGATAATGTATGTATAATAATCTATGTATGATAATCTATGTATGATAATGTATGTATGATAATGTATGTATGATAATGTATGTAGCTGTACTTGTGTATACCTGAATAAACTTACTTAGGATAACTCCTCACACGTCTGATCCACATCCACCTCAGTTATATATTTATGGTGACTTTGTTACTCAAGCATACTAAAATAAAATTCATTTACCTGGAGTTTACCTGGAGAGGGTTTCGGGGGTCAACGCCCCTGCGGCCCGGTCTGAGACCAGGCCTCATGGTGGATCAGGGTCTGATCAACCAGGCTGTTACTGCTGGCTGCACGCAATCCAACGTACGAGCCACAGCCCGGCTGGTCAGGTACCGACTTTAGGTGTTTGTCCAGTGCCTGCTTGAAGACTGCCTGGGGTCTATTGGTAATCCCCCTTATTTATGTTGGGAGGCAGTTGAGCAGTCTCGGGCCCCTGGCACTTATTGTATTGTCTCTTAACGTGCTAGTGACACCCCTGCTTTTCATTGTGGGGATGTTGCATCGTCTGGAGTTTTACCTGGAGAGAGTTTCGGGGGTCAACGCCCCCGCGGCCCGGTCTGTGACCAGGCCTCCTGGTGGATCAGCGCCTGATCAACCAGGCTGTTGCTGCTGGCTGCACGCAAACCAACGTACGAGCCACAGCCCGGCTGATCAGGAACTGACTTTAGGTGCTTGTCCAGTGCCAGCTTGAAGACTGCCAGGGGTCTGTTGGTAATCCCTCTTATGTGTGCTGGGAGGCAGTTGAACAGTCTTGGGCCCCTGACACTTATTGTATGGTCTCTTAACGTGCTAGTGACACCCCTGCTTTTCTTGGGGGGATGGTGCATCGTCTGCCAAGTCTTTTGCTTTCGTAGTGAGTGATTTTCGTGTGCAAGTTCAGTACTAGTCCCTCTAGGATTTTCCAGGTGTATATAATCATGTATCTCTCCCTCCTGCGTTCCAGGGAATACAGGTTTAGAAACCTCAAGCGCTCCCAGTAATTGAGGTGTTTTATCTCCGTTATGCGCGCCGTGAAAGTTCTCTGTACATTTTCTAGGTCGGCAATTTCACCTGCCTTGAAAGGTGCTGTTAGAGTGCAGCAATATTCCAGCCTAGATAGAACAAGTGACCTGAAGAGTGTCATCATGGGCTTGGGCCTCCCTAGTTTTGAAGGTTCTCATTATCCATCCTGTCATTTTTCTAGCAGATGCGATTGATACAATGTTATGGTCCTTGAAGGTGAGATCCTCCGACATAATCACTCCCAGGTCTTTGACGTTGGTGTTTCGCTCTATTTCGTGGCCAGAATTTGTTTTGTACTCTGATGAAGATTTAATTTCCTCATGTTTTACATATCTGAGTAATTGAAATTTCTCATCGTTGAACTTCATATTGTTTTCTGCAGCCCACTGAAAGATTTGGTTGATGTCCGCCTGGAGCCTTGCAGTGTCTGCAATGGAAGACACTGTCATGCAGATTCGGGTGTCATCTGCAAAGGAAGACACGGTGCTGTGGCTGACATCCTTGTCTATGTCGGATATGAGGATGAGGAACAAGATGGGAGCTAGTACTGTGCTTGTGGAACAGAGCTTTTCACCGTAGCTTGCCTCGGACTTTACTCTGTTGACGATACTCTCTGTGTTCTGTTAGTGAGGAAATTATAGATCCATCGACCGACTTTTCCTGTTATTCTTTAGCACGCATTTTGTGCGCTATATTACGCCATGGTCACACATTGTTCGAAGCTTTTGCAAAGTCTGTATATATTACATCTGCATTCTTTTTGTCTTCTAGTGCATTTAGGACCTTGTCGTAGTGATCCAGTAGCTGAGACAGACAGGAGCGACCTGTTCTAAACCCATGTTGCCCTGGGTTGTGTAACTGATGGGTTTCTAGATGGGTGGTGATCTTGCTTCTTAGGACCCTTTCAAAGATTTTTATGATATGGGATGTTAGTGCTATTGGTCTGTAGTTCTTTGCTGTTGCTTTACTGCCCCCTTTGTGGAGTGGGGCTATGTCTATTGTTTTTAGTAACTGGGGGACGACCCCTGTGTCCATGCTCCCTCTCCATAGGATGGAAAAGGCTCGTGATAGGGGCTTCTTGCAGTTCTTGATGAACACAGAGTTCCATGAGTCTGGCCCTGGGGCAGAGTGCATGGGCATGTCATTTATCGCCTGTTCGAAGTCATTTGGCGTCAGGATAACATCGGATAGGCTTGTGTTAATCAAATTTTTGTGGCTCTCATAAAAAAATTCATTTTGATCTTCGACTCTCAGTCTGGTTAGCGGCTTGCTAAAAACTGAGTCATATTGGGACTTGAGTAGCTCACTCATTTCCTTGCTGTCATCTGTGTAGGACCCATCTTGTTTAAGTAGGGGCCAATACTGGGCGTTGTTCTCGATTTGATTTGGCATAGGAGAAGAAATACTTTGGGTTTCTTTCGATTTCATTTATAGCTTTTAGTTCTTCCCGCGATTCCTGACTCCTAAAGGATTCTTTTAGCTTAAGTTCGATGCTTGCTATTTCTCTGACCAGTGTCTCCCTGCACATTTCAGATATATTGACCTCTTTTAGCCGCTCTGTTATTCTTTTTCCGTCGCCTGTAAAGGGAGCGCCTGTCTCTTTCTATTTTACATCTACTCCTCCTTTTTCTTAGAGGAATAAGCCTTGTGCATACATCGAGTGCCACCGAGTTAATCTGTTCTAGGCATAAGTTTGGGTCTGTGTTGCTTAGTATATCTTCCCAGCTTATATCGGTTAGGACTTGGTTTACTTGGTCCCACTTTATGTTTTTGTTATTGATAGTTGAATTTGGTGAATGCTCCCTCGTGACTAGTCTCATTTTGTCGGTCTGGGGCTCCTCGCATACATGTCTGAACCTCAATTATGTTGTGATCTGAGTATATTGTTTTTGATATGGTGACATTTCTTATCAGATCATCATTGTTAGTGAATATGAGGTCTAGTGTATTCTCCAGTCTAGTAGGCTCTATTATTTGCTGGTTTAAATTGAATTTTGTGCAGAGATTTAAAAGCTCGTGTGAGTGTGAGTTTTCATCAGAGCTGCCTCCTGGTGTTATTACTGCAACAATATTATTTGCTATATTCCTCCATTTTAGGTGCCTTAAGTTGAAATCCCCCAGGAGCAAGATGTTGGGTGCAGGAGCTGGAAGATTTTCCAGACAGTGGTCAATTTTTAACAGCTGTTCCTGGAATTGCTGGGATGTTGCATCCGGAGGCTTGTAGACTACCACAATGACTAGGTTTTGGTTCTCGACCTTTACTGCTAAAACTTCCACTACGTCATTTGAGGCATTAAGCAGTTCTGTGCAAACAAGTGACTCTGCAATGTACAGGCCAACCCCCCCCTTTTGCCTGTTCACTCTGTCACATCTGTATAGGTTGTAACCTGGGATCCATATTTCATTGTCCAAGTG